ATGTGGGCCCATTAGAGTGTTGCGAGAAATCAAAAACACTGATGGGTGAAATTGAAACCCGATTGGTAAATGAGTCTACCCCACCGATCATCGTAGCAGACTTCATTGATGTGCAGTGGTCCAGGATAAAAGCTAAAGTATAACAAGCTGCACTAAACAGAATTGGTACCACAAACCGCTGCTACAAAGATTGGATATCAGAGGAAACCATCCGTCGCTCAACCCTGGCTAGGAACGCCCGTCTAGCTGCTCACCACGATTACCAGCGACTCAGACGGGAAGCAACCCGCTCAGCAAAAGCAGATTGGCGCAACTACTCGAACGAAATAGAGATCAAGATGGAAACTGCGGCCAGTGCATGCCACTTCGGAAATCTCTTTCGCCTCATAAGATCAGCGTCCGGTAGAGGACAATCTTTACAACCTGTCCTGCGCGACTCCTCCGGGGGACTGATCTCCGATACCGACGATAGAATGACCAGATGAATAGAACATTTCAGTCGATTTCTCAGTCATCCGCTGGGCAATTCGGCGGATATTCATCCCGATATGGCGTCCCCATACGAGGTCGACTGTGATCCTCCAACGATAGAAGAAATTACCGCAGTGATCGGTCACTTGCAAGGCCCCTGGTGAAGACGGAATCCCGGCAGAAATATACAAGAAATGCCTTTCAGTGGTCATCAAACCGCTTTACTCTCTTGTTCGCTCTATTTGGGAGACCTAAACATGTCCAACTGATTGGAACACTTCGGTTTTGCTTCCGTTCCCCAAGAAGGGCGACAAGACACTTTGCGAGAATCATCGGGGCATCGTTCTCCTAGATGTGACTGCAAAAGCGTTTGCTCAGCTTGTGCTTAATCGATTTGCTACAGTGAGGCATACACGTACGCGGTCAAACCAAGGATGCTTCCAACCCGGCAAAGGATGTACCGATCAAATTTTCATCCTAAGGCGAATTCTGGGACACCGATACAAGTTTCAGCTCCTCACCGCTACATGTTTCATTGACTTTCGCGCCCCATTCGATTCAGTGGACCGCGAGTCATTGTGGAAGATAATATTTGCAGATGGCGTCCCTGCAAATTTGGTCAATATAGTGAGATCGTATTATACCCGAACCAAAGCCCGTATCCGCGCCAACAGCGAAGAGTCTCATCCCTTCGATCTGAGGTCAGGAGTGAGACAAGGATGCCCGCTATCTCCAGTGTTGTTCAACTTCGCCGTTGATTGGATTCTGCATCGGGCAATGGAAGGTTGCCGAAGCGTCCAAGTTGCCGCGGATTGCTGGATTACTGACCTCAAATTGGTCGATAACGTGAGTGCTTGGAGGGGATTTGACCGCCTTGCAAACAGCTCTCAACTGTATCAAAAGATTTGCCTCTGAGATCGGCCTTGAGATTGATCCTAACAAAACCAAGATGTTCCACCACTCCACCTGATCAAGCGGAACATTCTCTGCAACCGGATGGTCGGATAATAGAAATCGTATAGGACTTTAAGTACCTTGGGTCCACCATCCTGCCTAATGGACAAGCCAAAGATGATGTAAAGCGGCGCATCGACACGGCCCGAACGGCGTTTCTGCAGCTCCAAACCACCCTATGGCACCGGAACGAGATCAGTCACAAAACCAAGCTCAGGGTGTTTGCCACAGCAGTTTGATCAGTCCTGCTATAGGGCTGTGAAACCTGGTCGTTAAGAGCTGAGGGTATTCGACAATCGGTCTTCGATCCATCCTGAAAGTAAACTGGCGGGACAGGGTCTCGAACTCGGACCTCAGAAGTCGATGCCACGTCGCCCGCCTCTCAACGCACAAACAAAGCCGCCGACTGCAATGGCTGAGCCATGTTCTCCGCAGACCCGACGACACTTACGAGTATTGTCTTGGCTCCGACACCATGTCCTGGCTGATGCAGCCGACAAGAGGGGCAAGTAAAAACCTAGCTGGTCACTGTATTCGTAGACGTCAACCAACTTGGCCTTCGGATGGTGTACGGCAATCGCCGATGGAAAACAAATTGGATTAACATTTGAAAGGATTTTGCAGCCAACCGCCAAGAATGAGCAGCGGCCATCAGAGATATTCATGGAGCAGGCTTATCCCTTCCAAGGAGCCAACCGTAGTAAAGTAAGTAAAATGAACAAAGTGGGGGAGTGGCGAGTGAATGTCAAAAAGCTGCGCTAGTGGGTGTACCGCAAAATGCACAGAAAGCCAGACATCAGAGGAGGGTAAGATCCGATAAATGCAAACCGGATTCAGTAGATGATTCTAGGAGTAAAGGAGCGCTTGGAAAGAATAGGTGAAGGAACAGACGAAAGATAAGGATTGTAACCAAAAGTCTCAGATTACTGCGGTGGTTTAGATATTCGGATGCAATTCATGACTTGATATTAGAGGATAAAGCTTTGCCCTCAACATTGTCAGTCCTGGACTCAGTTTGATCACATTATGAAAATCACCATCGCGGCTTTTTCACACAAATTCTTACGAATTCATATACAATAAGATCATTATGCATTCCACATGACGAACAAAACGAAGATGGTTGAATATAACACAACTTAAAATCCCGGCCCAGATTATTTTGTTAACTTAACAGAGAACATGACGACTTTGGCAATAAAGGAACAGGATTTCAAAACCCGTTCTTTTAGGTGATTGGTTTCAAACACAACTAATGGAGCATAAAGAAAAAATATGGTGTAGTGAAAGGGAAAGCATCAACCACAGGTAAAGATCGATCTACGAGGAACACCCGCTAATGAACTACGATTTATACTTTCACCGTTGTTTTAATGGTTACTGTTCCTCGAGGTTCACGGTTGGTAACCTACTCTTGGCAGTCACCTGTCTAGGGGTTACGAGTATGTCAGCACCAGATCAAAAAGCCATTTTCGGGGAACTCGGTCATGAATATTGTCGAGCTCGCTGACGGACGTCGATTCGGTGAGGTCGTGCGACCTGCACAAGACGGCTAAGTTAGATCCGACTCGATAGACACGAAGAATGACGCACTGATTTGTGCGCGCTACAGCTAAGGTACAGCTGATCATAGTTGCTCGGACGTTGGCGACAGTTCAATTACCACGGTTTACCACAGTATCTACGAGGAAGGATGCTTAGGGTGTACTCGAAGAGATGCCCTTTCATTACGCTGATCATTGGGGCCAAATCAGATAGCAAAATTTGTGGAGGCTAAGAATGGAGTTAATGAGATGAAACTTAGCGACAGGGCGGTTTTACATCAATGGCCTGGTAAACATAACCAGTAATACCCTAACTGTAGCTCGCCTATTCCTTGCTCAATAATTATTCTAACGGAACGAAAAGGATCACCGTCAATTCGTTGGATAAAAAGAGATTTTCGAAGTTAAAAACGGGTACTCGTTGTCAGAAGAACTATTGCGGAATTTAGAACATCCACAAATTACACATTTTGGCGGATATTTTTCATAACCCCGAGGTTAACAAGCAGCGTGTTGGAACAAGTAATGCCCAAGAATGAACCAATGAACCAAGAATGAACTGTGGTAATCCTACGGCAGAAATGGAAGATAATTCATTATTGGATTTGTCCGCAAAGGCCGTTACAGTTTGTCTAGTAGAGTAGCTGGTACATATGGCAGGATGTATGCATCACTGTAATACCTAAGAAAGATAAATGGAAGTTTCGGTCGATTACTCACGCACGGCCTAACCGACCCACGGAATCGACGTTCATCAGTGAGCTCGACAACATTCACAACAGTATTCTCATTTGAACAGAGCAAACGTGTGGGAAGACAGGTGATCAATTGGGGGGTACAAAAACGCGTTTAATTGACCAATGAGTGGGGCTGAATGCGAGGGAATCTAACCACTGTTTTTCTCAATTCAGAATGACAGCTTATCAAATCCATCAAACATCCTTTCCATTCGATCTATTTGAATGAAACAAGTAACACAATCGATATCGAACACTAATTTTGCGTACTCGCAATTCGCTGTCTACGCATATCAAATAGGTCCGAAAGTTCAAGTGAAAAGAAATGGGTTGTCGAGTCATTGTCAAAGTTATTTGGAGATGACTGAACGAGAGAGGGTAATGACTACAAGGATTTAAAACGTGGCATATTGTAGAAGTTACGAAAAACTCACCGAACCAGAAACAGATTTACAAATGGTGTTTCCAGACCTATCGATGATTGCATCAACGGTCTCAATCATGTCGAAATATAACTCATTGTTTGTATATTTCACGCCACTACGTCTCCATCGAACATTGGACAACTGACAGGCAGGTAGTACTGAACTAACCATTGAGTTTTTGCCAACCATAGCGTCTGTAAGTGTTTTCAGCAGGTTTGGAGGTCGTACGATTTCTCGTAAAATGTTGGGCTCCGTAGCCAGAGGAAATCCACCATCAAGCATTTCGTCTAAAATCTTGGATTTGTACGGCTCGTCCGAAAAGTTCGTAGACTTACTTCATATATACAAACCGTATTGTCGCGAATTGCGGTTTCCGAAATTGTACCAAAGTATTCTTCTAAAATGACACATATTGTGCGCAAAAACTCCATCACAAGCAGCGGTGGGACTGAAATATAGAACTCTGAGCACTCTGCGATACATACACTCGTTCACAAAGACAGCAACAAAAAATAAATCATTCTTTATGATGTGGCATAAGTTGGCATTCGACACTTCGGTGACCGGAGGAGGCTGTTGTGTAGTGGTGGCTTCAACGGATGCCTCGGAGACGGCATCACAAACGGTTTTAGACGTAACTCTAACCCAGTGTTTTTCAAGACACACCTCACTGGCTCAACTTGAGAATAACCGAAATGAACTTACCCAGAAAGATTCACAACGAACATACTTTGAATCATCCTGGTGTGGCGATTCTATCAGTAAGGCTGAAAAGAAGTTGAGTTGCTGAATGGCAGTCACACACCAACACTGAACTCAATCGAGAACGAATGAACGCACAGGCAGATGTTGCAATACTGTCTCGTTTTTACACTCCAAGTGTTAATTTAACAAAATATGGTGCATGAACTGAATGAGAGGCTAAGAAGTACTTGTTATTAGATGAAATAAAGATAAGGATAAAGATAAGCAATATTGGGAGCAATAAGGAACGACGATGATGAATTGCCAGATGGCCAGCAGTTACTCGAAACGTGCCGTTAAAAAAACACGTAAAATCCCAAAATCGGGTTCAGTCTATTGGTACAGCCATAAAACAAACGCATCCGGGCGGAGGACTGATGTGCCGTCTTTTGGTTACCCATCTGGATGTAGCAGAGGTAACAACAGAATGCAGGAAGCAATGTCGCTATCAAAAGATTAAAGTAGACTAATGTTGTGAAGAAACTGAGTAGATGCACTACCGCTACTGTCTATGAAACTAAGCCATCACTATTTCACACACATCTCAAGTCAGACTGTGCCAACCAAATCACGGTACAATAATCTTTATAAGAAAAGAAAGTTGCATGATCCGCGGAATAATGCCAGGTTGTAGGCCGATGTAGGTGAATTTTCTTGGGTAAATTTATTCAGTCTAAATATATAATGTGTATTCGTGGGTTGCGGGCATGTAACTTCTCAATCGCCGGACCGAAGAATGGGGATTACCTCGCGGTTCCCACCCGAAGCCTCTGGCTGGAAAGCCAGATCAACAGGACAGTAGGACGGAGGGTAGAGCCCACAGTCTGTTGGCAGCCGGTGTTTAATTCATCGGATCACACGCCCATTGGACGAGGTCAAACGTCCAGGGTGCCCAA